AAGTATCTCGTGTAGGCGATGTCCTCCAGCTCGTAAGAGGTCGGCCGAAACATAGTCCGGTCCCGGAGCCTGCCTTCATGGTCTTAATTGCGGCGCGTACTTCAGCAGGTAGAATCCGTGGTGGTATTTTTTTAATGGGAATAACGGGGTTTGACACGGGTGTTGACAAGCGAATGAGATTGGGTAGAATCTCTTCGTGATCGATTCCATCTTTTGTCGGGAAGATGTGCGAGTCCCGTCCGTTTGGTAATGTTGTCAGCTGAACACGATAGTCAAAAAGGTCCCTGCGGTACTTCTTTAGACTTCTCCTTCCTTGTGCTGCTTCCAAGAGTTTTGGTTGCCTGTGCTTTCGAAAATATTGGCTAATCGCTCGAGATGTGTTGCAGCCGGATCCAGTCTCAGTGCTCTTCTCCTCTCTAGCAGATCCTTAGTGGCTTTCGAAATTCGTTCCAAGTTTGTGCGAGGCACTGAGGCGCTTTTATCACAGACTCCCAGTCCTCTAAGAAGCAGATCGTAGTCTATTGTCGGGTCCTCTTCGATGGGCCAGTCACAAGTGGTCAGGAGCAATTTGACGCCGTCATATACAACTTCTCTCCTCCCTCCAACACGGTGGCACCTTCTTTTCCAGCTTTCGGCTAAATCACCTTTTGCTCGAAGGAGGCGGTGATCTGAACCACTGCTGAAGGATGTTACCAATGAGACGTCTGGTGAGCATCACCTTCGGTTGGTGAGAATGTGGTCGATATCCGCATGAATCGTAACGTTGGGTGACTCCTATGTCCCCGCCAGTGTTCTTTCTTCATGAAAATGGAGTAGCCATGAAAAGTCGTGCGGCGGATGATAGCTCAACAAGACGGTTACCATTCTCATTCCGGAGTCCTGATCCAAATCTCCCCATCCTGTGTTTCCCTTCTTCTGGTATCCCGGTTCTCGCATTGAAGTCACCCACGACGAAATTTTTCTTTGCGGATGACTTCCTCCAAATTCTCATGAAAAGCATCAAGTTTCGAATTATCAGCTGCTGATGTTGGAGTATAGCAGTTGATGATAGTGATGGCTATGGCTGTCAAAGCTGCACTCGCAAGACAAATTAACTCCAGACCCAGGGCTAAACAAACTCTACCATAATCCTACCGCGAAGGAAAGTCTAAGTCGGAGCTAGCTCTTCAGATGACCGTTGAACATGATTATAGAAATATAAAGGTTATTAGCGGTCA